TTTTTTTTGGAAGTCACTTTTTGAGACGAAAATCCCTAGCAAATCGAAAGAATTTTCTCCGCGAAAAACCCTAGCAAATCGGAAAAAATCTCTCGGAACCAAAAACCGTAGCAAATTGAAAGAATTCTCCTCAATTTTCTACATTGATGAACTAAAAAAAAAAAAAAAAAGGTCTTCACTTTTTTCGTGAAAAACCATAGCAAATTCGAATAATTTTCACGAAAAATTTTTGTCCCATCCAAATCACAGGGGGGGGTAAACCCCCCCCTACCCCCCCCCTTCGCACATTACTGATTTAACTGTATCGAACGGGTATAGAATGGACTCGATTGAGGCTTGACACTCAAATTTTGACTCTCTCACAGAGGTCACTAAATAATATTTTTCGTTTTTCTTATCCTTTCCTTTAATTTGGTTTTTAAGCTGAGTTAAGAAGTGCACAAAGAATAATTTGCAAATGACTTTCCACTGTTTTTGTGTAAAATATGTGAATTCAAAGTGAAATATTCGCCATTACGAGCTATCGCTATTATTGAGAGTTTTTACAATTGGTCAATATTTTTATAAGAGCAAAGAAAAATGCTTTTCATATCTGTTTGATTTATCGACGCCATCCCAACGATAACCAGGTTTAATGTTAAAACTGGTTTCTGGTAAAGATCCCTGGTAAATTAACTTCCTTAATTGAAGTAATTTTTTTTTCTTCAATCTTCCCGGTCTTGATGTTTTACTAATCTATTTTAAGGTTTAAAATTGCTTACTTTTTCCTTACAATGGTGATAGTGAAACGAGGCCACTTCTGAAAATAAAACGGTGTTCAACCGGGCGTGTATAGTAGAGAAAGAATCGGGATTGTTTGTCTTCACAAAAATTATTTAATTGCATTTCATCCTGTTGGAATACATTTTGGTAATAATACGACTTGGTATTTTAATGTAACAAAAATATAAAAAAATAGCAAAAATTCAATGCTTTCGGTGATGTAATAAGAACGTATCGTTATAATTATCGAAATTATATTGTATGATATATTAATATGATTGTCAAATGAAAAAAAATGAAAGAAAACAATCAAGATCGTTATTCAATAACATTGTTGTTATCTGGTTCGATTTTGTTTTTCCATGCTTTTTCCAAAATGCTGGCAACATGGGATTCTTTGGCCATAGATTGGTGGCGACTTTCGATTATGCTTTTAGCTAATTGTATTGGATTCTTTTTAAATTTTGCGTTGCCAACCGCGTCACGAAGGGCAGGTAGCTGACGATAAATATGTTCAACGAATCCATCCGGCTGAATCTGATTGTTATTGAATGCCATTTGGTGTTCAACAGAACGTTGACGTGGAATCAATCCCAGGAAACCGCAATAGGCACTCTGCTCCTCCTCGGTATTGAAATACAATGAACCGGAAAACACCGCCAATTGGGCCTTTTCATCAATCGAAAGCATTTCTTTGGGTTCCATGCTGCCCACCACTAAATGTTCATCGTCAATCAATGTCTCTTGGAACTGGGACAATTTTGCCTGGTACATAAATAAACAAGCCTTTTTGCTACGTTTGAAATCTTTCAAGAGATTTTCAACTTCAAAAGATGACAACAGCAAAATGATGTCATTGTCAATGCGACGTTTTATTTTTGCTACCCACAGCACTGGTCGTAAAAATTCATCGCCCACTCCTTTCTCAACGACTTGCTTGAAGTCGCGTGTTGCGTACATATGACTGGCCCAAGCTCGGTTATCATGTGGTGCATAAGCCGCATAAAACTGTGTGTCATAGAAAACCATTGGCAAACACTGGATGTGTCCTTTAGCTGTGAGCTCACCAAAACATGCGTGAGATGCTCCATATAGAATGAGCTTTTGGAGTAAATCTTCTTCGAAAATCGGTTTCATCGGTTTTGCTGCGGACGGACGTTGCACATGACGTTGCTCTTCCAGCTCATGTTCGAGTTCCTTCTGTGATTTGTAAAAGTAATAAGAATTGGAACTAAAAAAAATTCATTAACAGTAATATACCTCTTGTTCTTCGTCGAGCGCCTGTGAAAATCGTTTCAAATGTGCCGCTTGCTGTGACAGTTTGTACTCCACTTTGGCCGCAATCGATTCAAGAGATTGTGTGTTTTGTTGATTTTCGGTTAACGTCTGCTTCAACTTTTCAAATCTTCCGTTTGTGAGTTGTGTCAGTAATTTATCCTCTTTTCCACCGTACATTTCTTTCAACGTTACATACCTAGGGAAAATCATCGAAGAAAAAAGTTCGAAAGTAAAGAAAATATCCGTTTCAATGCGAAAGCATAATGTAACATACTCATTATCGACGCATTGATTGTAAAGACGAATTAATGGTGAAACTTCGCCTTCTACTGCAATCGAATTTTCGTTGTTTTCATGAGCCGCTATCTTTTTTGCATAGTTATATGCTGCGGCTGCCCAATGATACGTATTATCTTCCTCAAATTTTTTACTGTTATGGCAAATAAATTGAATGACATCGTTCGTTGTTGGAGTGTGATTTTGGATGTTACAAATCTCTTTGATGCGAACATCAGCTTCGTTTGATGCCCAAAACGAAATCGTATGGCCGCGTCCTAAGAGACGCATACGCATGCATGCTTGCACCGTTTTATCACGCGTGATATCACCAGATAGTGTAACAGCTGCTCGCCAAACTATTGGGAACTTCAAGTCCGTACCACGAGTGTGAACATCGTCCAAGTAAACGATGCATTTATTCAGCTTATCACGGTATACGGAGTTATCGAATTCGGTTATTATCCCGTTCCGGTCTATTGTCATCAGTAGATCGTTTGTATCAAAATAAAGAGCCGCATCGTATTCGTCTTCCGCAACCATTTTCAGCCATTCGGTGGCAACTTCTTGATTGTTTAATTCAAGCATCATTGCTCCTGCATCAAGCAGAACTGGTATATCTTCGTCTGTCAATTGATTCAAAATGTCTCGGCCGCTGATGTTTGCGGTGAGTGACTTGTACGATTGTTGAAGTAGTACATCGCGAACTCTGTCATTCGTTTCGATTAGTTCAGGAAGATCGTTTTGCACAATTGGCAATGGCAAGATCCGTTTGGTGTCATTTGTACCACTGAATCCAGTTGTTGTGTGTGTAAAACGATCAGAAACCAGATCCCAAGCTGTAGACATTAATTTCTTTTCGAATGTCTTTGCCTCACGCGGAAAAACCATGTGCGACAGCCAAAAATCGATAACATACATGCTGAAACGGAACAATGGAAATACAACGCTGCGTTGCTTTGGATCCGAGAGGTTAATGCCCGAGTAAAATTTAATTGTAGGATCAATGCCAAGTAATGGCTCCGGAACTTTTTTTACCCAACTTTCATAAATATCTTTGGCATTCTGTTGATTGTCCAATACCCGAAACACTTCGTACATTTGTTCATCGGTTAAACCTGAGATTTGGACAAAGAAACGAAATTACCATTTATCGTTTACTGACTTACTGTTGAATGAATCTTTCCAATCGTAACTCACCCGAATAGTAATAGCTCAAGTGTGTTAAACAAATCGCAACGTCTGGATGGCCGAATTCTGTCATCTCAGCGGCAACATCTTTGGCTTTATATGGGATTGCCATTTTGCGTGCACTTTTCGGATTCACACCATAGTTGACACGCCAGCGTTTGGTTAAAATCAATTTTAACACATCAAATCGCAATAGACCACTTAAAATCATGATGGCATTGGTTTCGTTATCCGAAAATCCGGCAATGATTTCATTGAATTTCTCAACGGAAATGTCTCTTTCGTTCATCAAAACGCCCAATATCTCTTTGGCTCGTTCGTTGGTTTCCGTGAATGGAATGTCCTTCAGCTTACTATGTATGAATTCTTCGATAAGTTGGGATTTCAACCGATCATAAACATCCTCTGCGAAAAGTCGACATGGGGTGAACACATCAAAGCGACGCACCAATTGGGTGAAACCCGAAATTTTGGCATTAGGCACATAATTATGATCGAATTCGATTTTCTCATTGCCATATATTTTGTGCAATTCCGGTATGAGCTCTCGCACACGTTTCAAAACGGCTTGACAAATTGTCCAACGCAAACTGCCTCCGTCTAATGACAATTGATTGCCGACAGTGTAAATGAGCTGGTACTTTGGTTGTAAAATGGCATCGGACTCGTCAAGAATGTTCCGAATATTTGCGTTAAGCCATTTGTGTGCTTCCAAAAAATGTTGAGCATTTTCGAGATCACCTTTGCATGACGATTCATACGTTTTCAGTTGAAAAGAGAGTCGGTACTCGGGCAGTGTTAGAATTACACCTGAAAAGTAGTATAACGAAAAGTAGTATAACGAAAAGAAATAAAAAAAAATCATGTTGTTATGAGACAAGGGTCGGATGTACCTTTTTCGATTTTGCATTCTTTGTAGATTTCCAGCATCTGTTTTACGTGATCATTGACAGGAAGGTCACGGCGACAAATGAACGTATAAACTCGGTGATTCAGTAATCCGCCGAGACATTGACGCAGCGATTTTAAATTGGTTGCAAACAACGATTTCAACACCGTAACTTGGCATGCGTGTTTATTGTTTGCCAAACGAGATGCAACAATTGGAACAATAACCTTAAAATGATAATAAATTAATTAAATTTTTTAAATTTAAATAAAAATACAATATTAAAACTAACTGCGGTTTTGCCTTCGCCCATATTTAATTGCATCACTGAATGCTTCGTATCGTCTGAAGATTTTTCGGGATCGATCATACGTTTGGCAATAACTATTTGAATCGGACGAATCGTCAAGTTCTGTTCAATTTCGAATAGCAACCACTCAGGGTATTGAATTGGACACCAATTTATTTGTGGTTCATTCTCCAGTTCACGATCCAGTGCGGCTTTCATTTGTGGCTGTTGTTCGTACATTCGAACGCGTTTTGCGCGTTGTTCGTGCGACATTGTGACGGCCAAAGCTCCAATGATGTTTCGAATGTTTTCGTCTGTTGGTTTTTTATTGCTATTGTAAAGCAACCGTGGTAGCACCAAAGACGGTATCCAATGTGGATACAATCCGGCATCGACCAAATGATCGGTTCCTGTCGATGTTACGATACTTTTTAATACATTCCACCATTCGGCAGCTGTTCGATTCAATGGTGGCATTGCTTGTGTCTCTAGACGACAGAAAATATGTTTCGCCAAATTCACATCATTAACGAATTTGTTGACATTCTCACACATTTTTTGCTCGTAATCAATGTGAAATTGATGCTTTGATCGTGGTTCGGGCTTGTGTTCAATTTCTTCATTTCTCCATTCAGTCAATGTGACTTGTGGTGCTGCTGCCGATAATTGATTGACTGCATGCTCAACGCGTTCAATGAACAATCTCAATTTTTGAATGTTGTTCCAATTTCGAAGTTTTCTGTTAATTTTCCGCACCATATCTGCTATATCCACATCACCACGAGCATAATTGACAATGTATGGACCGACTTCATCGCATGGCTGCTGTTGCCATTGCGTCTCGACTAAAGTTGCAATTTGTCGTGCATATTCCCAAAATCTAATTGCAACTCCATGGTTGTGATCTTTGTTCAAACTTTCGGGATCGACATGGCTTTTTCGAACGATTTTTGCAATTACTTCGATGTCAAAAGCTGGTTTCTCTAAATGTCTGTATTCAGTCGCGTCCGGTGCAACAATTTGTCGAAATGTAGCTGGATTATTGGCAACTATTTGCAAGGCAAAAATTGGAGCCGCAATCGCACCACCGTGACTATGTAATAGCCCAAGGATCAAGGCAAATTTTTCACGATTGAATCTTTCATCGCGCGCAAATTCATATAATGAAATCCATAAATCGGCCACATCACGCTTTTCAAATGCGCTCAGAATTTCGTCCACTTCGAGTGTGTATTGAATGCCCATCAAATGATCACGATTTTCAATTAATGCTTCGAAAAGATCCAAACGAATTCGAGCTTCAATCGTATTTTCATGATAGTGCACGGCAATTTTTCGCAAAGCCACATTTGGTACACGTTCTTCGTATACACACCGTGGACCAATCATTCGGTCATAGGCATCGTGGTCGATGAACGTATCCGATATTCGTAAATTTGGATGTAATGGAAGACATCGGAAATAGTCTCGTTTATTTTCTCTCAATTCATCGATCGGTACTTCTTTTTCTTTCGGTTTTGGCTTTGGTTTCTCCTTCTCTTTATCGCTGGTATCTTTCTTCGGCGATTCATGCAAATCTTTCAGTCGATTGCTATCATCAATCAATTTGCGTATAATCAATGCATATGAATCTTGAGCTGCGTGTGATGGTATGGTTTTCGGCCAACCAACTGATTGATAACAATTTTTCAATTGACGGACGGGTGCCAGTGCTTCGATGTCTTTTAGTGTTTTCAGCGATTCAGGATCGTAGGGTGCTGAGGACCAAACAAAGGCCGATTGCAAAATTTGCAGAGCGCGTTCACTGCCTGAAATTCCCAAAAACGGTTCCACTTGACCGTGTGATGTGAGTGCATGTAAATGAGCCAAATAGAACCAAGCTGAAAAGCTGCTATTTTTTGCTTTCAATTGTTGAACAAATTCATCCACCACATAGGTGTGAAAGGGTGGTGATCGCAGTTCGTTTTCAGTCTCGATTTTGACGATTTCATGGTGTTTTGAAAAGCTGGCCACGACAGAACCGTGTGGCATTATCATCATTTTTGATTGATTTTGCAGGTCTTCCGTGCTTTCTAGTAATAATCCATGGTGTAAGCCGTACAAGGTTCCACAATTTTGTTTTTTGCTCACCCGCATGTTATTATATTCGTTGGACAAAATGATAAATTCATTCGTTTCGCTTTCTTCACATGGTTTCACCACAAATTTCAAGTTCATTCGCATTAATTTGGCCATAGCCACTTTGACGTTCGCTTCTTCGATGAAAATGTGAATGAATTTTTTTGCTTCCAATCGTTCCAGTCGTTGCGAAATTTGTACATAACTTTGACTTGATACGTCCAAAAATGTTTGTTTGGTTTTTGCGGATTTCAGCGATGCGTCATTCAAATTGAGGCAGTATTGTACACCATCAATGGAGGAGAAATGTTCATCGGTAAATTGTTGTGGCCGAAATTGGATACAATTTCCCTCTTGACTCCACCAATGGCTGAAATTCTCAATTAGCAAATGTGGAATTTCATTTTGCAACACTTGGTGCGGAATCAACTCAAATCGTCTACCATCTTTATGCAATTCTGTGACGACAACGGCTTTGCGTACAATTTGAAAATTGTAATAGCAATCATTTGAGCTGTGCTTAGTTGAAAATGATTCGGAATTTTCCTGTTGCACTTCAAAAATGAATTGATTGAAAACACGCTTGTATAATTCGTTGTCGGTGATTTCAGTTGGGAGGCGAGCAACCGGTAAATTATTTACCAAAAAGTCTCCAGTGATCACATCGATTTGAACATAATTTACATTGTTCCGGCCGAATTTAATCTCCACACAAATCAATTGATTTTTGCTGGGCAATAATTGGAACTGTGTTGCTTCCTTCGATTTTATCCAATGTTTTTTGATTAATGCAAACAACTTTTGCTCATCTTTTTTAATTTGCTTTTGGATTTCATTTTCCAAATTTATTCCGATGCGATGTACTAAGCTCAAGAACATGCGCAAACTTGACGCGGTTTGATTCGTTTCATCGAGAAGAATGTTGGAGTTCAGGGTTATCAAAAGGTCTAGCCAGATCTGTGCGGGTGTTTTTGTAGCTGCTTCAGGCTTTTCGAAAATGTTTTCGAAGTATGGATGCTCGTAATGCACATAAAATGTCAAGGCACCAGCGATTGCGATCTCAACCAAATTTCTTCGCAATATGGCCACATGTTGTTGGTTTTGTGTGCATTGATGCATTGCAGTGGAAACTTTCGAAATCCATGAACTGCAAACAAATTAAAAAGAAATCATTGTGTTTCTTTAAAAATGTGAAAAAAATATCTATAATAATGATAATTGTGAACAAATCTTACATGGCAATGTCACGCAATTTTTGTAAAAGCTCAACAATCTGTTCCACGACTGTCGCGTTATTATCATTAAGAGTATCACATGCCAATTCGAACATTCGTACAGCTATCACTGCAGCCATCATCAACTTTTTTGGATGCTTCCAATTGGATTTTTGACGATCGATGAATGTATCGAGCAGTGTGGTCATTCGCGACACAAAATCCAAATCGGTGAAATCTTCGTGAGCTGAAATTAAAATTTCAAAATGTTGGTAGAGATTATAAATTAGAAAAATGATACCTTTCCTACACTAGGTGTGCAGAAAAGTAAAATATAGCATTGAAAAAAAAAATCTAATTTACCTTCACAGCACCACCAATCGCTTGCCAAATTGCTTCGAATTTCGCCCAATTGCCACAGAATTTGCATGATTAATGCTTGTACCGATTGTGATTCAAATGTTAGTCCTTCGGTCGCAATTAATGCATACAATTTTCGCAATTGCAATCGATGTCCGTCGGCACGAAGTGATCCAAAATTTTTGTATTCACCAAGTGTGATGTGTTGTGGACATTCGTATTGTCTGGCGATTACCTAAGATTCAATATGCATATTTCTAAATATGTTTGTTCATTGAGTATTTAATATTTTGTAATTACCTCGTTTTGTGTGTGATCACCGTTTAGCATCCATTGCAGAGACGATTCTTCCACATTGAATCGACAAATTTCATCGATCTGTTGATTATCAACCTTGGGTAAATGAAGCTGATTGGCATAATAAGAGAGATTGAAGCCGTTTGGTACGGAAAAAGTCTCAAACGGTGTATCTGGTGTGGCTCGACTTGTGCCACGTTTGGACAATGCCGATTTCAATTTGCTTCCGAGGAAAACCAGTTCACAAATTGAAGTTGAGTACTTCCGCAGTGGTTCGTATTTAACCCAGTCTTGAAAAATGCGAATATTAGTCAATGGTTTCTTTTGCATCAAACTTCCAACAACACAGAGAACATCACGCAAACAAGCAATTTCATCTGGCATTTGCTGAAAATAATATTCAAATACCAATAAAAAGAAATGCCAATATAATACCAATATAATATAATATTACCAATTCAAATAAAACGGCAAGCTTATTATGTTCAGCATCGGGTAATGCACGTTCATATCGCCGAACACGAATGTCACGAATTTTTCTTTGGAGTTCACATTTTGCGCAACCGGGCTTATGCTTTCGTTTGCCATTATCACTGGTTCTGGTAAATTCGCAATCCAAAGCTTCTGCACGCTTCTTCAAGTCGTCCATTTTCTTTTTCGCTTTATTGTATTCGTTTCGAAGTATTTGTAGTTCTTGGTCTTCATTTTCCTTGATTTTTTGGAGAGTTTGACCGATTTCATCGTCGTTCATAGCAAATTGACAAGCAAATGACATTTGTGATGGTTCTTCTTCCATAATACCAGGACGTTTTCTAATACCATTTTTCTCGTAATTACGTTTACGGAAGTATGATTGAATTTCGTGCGCAATTTCAATTTCATCATGAAGCGGCAACAGTAAACGGTTGAAAATCTCTTCATTCACGCTGCTTTCATACTTCTTGTACAGTTTGTACTCACTGGTGACGATTTCGTCCATAATCATCACAATTTTCAATTGGGTCAACAGCATTCGGCTGTATCCCAGAGCATCACCTTTGTAATGTTGAACTGCTTTGGCGTGATACATTGTTGAAAGCGATCGTAGCTCTTCTGCTGTTTTCTGATCAGACAATTTGTAGAGCACCCAATTTTCAAAGTCACACAAATACAGTCCGATCGCAGTGTGTCCCTTTAATTTATCAAAAGAACTTTCGTCAAATGTTCTGTCATTCCCATCATGCCGTATCCATGTTTTTCGCTGCAATATATCTCGGTTTTGAGTTTCTTGGTTCGGTTGTTGTCGTTCGACCAAATAATCTCGCAATTTTGGCACAAGTTGTTTTGTGTCGGATTGAAAATCAAGATTTTCCAGTGCTGTCAGTGACGAGCGAATTTCAACCTTTTGTTGCAGCTCTTGAATTTCACAATCAATGCGTTTTCGCACTGTTTTGATCATCATTTTTGTTGATAATACGATGCGATCGTATGTTTCCTTATGCTCAGTCATAAATTGTTTGATGCTTTCCTTTGGATTGGCATCCATGTCATTGTATAAAACTTGTATTTTTTCCAACCGAATTGCCATTTTGGCAATCAATTGTGCGGCAACATCAGTTTTCAGCTTTTTATACATGTCAGTAGTGTAGAAGAAGCACAGTTCGGTCAAATATTTCAGCATAATGATCTTATACAATAGCCGACCGCAGTCTTTGCCATATTCAACAGTCATCGCAAGCTGCAATGACACTTTTGTCACAGTCCAGTATGCTGAACGTCGAAATGGTAAATTTACATCAGACTTGACACCCAATACATCGTCTCGAAGTTTTTTCGAGATAACAGCAAATTCATCGGCCGTTGCCATCGAACTGTTTCGATTTCCCAGCATTGGAATCAACCAATTTGATACGTAATTTCGAACATAAATGTTACGTGTTTCCAGCTTTCCCTTGTCATTATGAAATTCTTCGGTTTTTACCACTGGATTTTCGTGTAAATACACAAGCTGTTGTGCAAATTCCAACGAACTAAACAATTGCGAATACTCGACCTTAAGACTTTGCGATGGAAAATCAGTCTAAAATGTGAATTCAAAAATCTCATCAATTTTTGAAGAAATCAACGGAGAAATGTTTTAAATATTTTACCTTAATATCACTGCTTGAATATTCTGCAATTTTTTCAGCGCTCAAATTCACAGGAAATGTCGAGACAATCAACTTTTTTTTTTCAAACTTCCGTTCACCAATTGATGGCGGTGGCATGTAAACGAAAAGACAACAATTCTGGCCCTCGATGTACATTGACTTCATGTCACCAAATTGCATTTGGCTCAATTCACGCGAAATAACTTCAGGTGACATTGAAGTTTTGATTGCATACAAACTGTTTACCATTTTGGCCATATTCGCCGGCAAAATATTTTGAGCCTCAAAATGATCAATAACGTCAATCATCAGTTCGATTAAGGCCGTTTCATTTTCGCCGGATTCAGCTTGTTTGCGTTGTTTCAAGAATCTTGGCCAAACAACATGCATGGCCATTGCCTTGTGTGTCGACTTTTTGGCTTTGTACATGGTGACTTGCTCCTCTTCGTGTTCGATTTCCATTTCATCTGGATCTACATCCATCCTGACCGCTGGATCTACTTCCATGATTTCTAAAATCCAAAAAGAAATGGCAACGGTTTCATTGAAAAACACTCATGCATTCTATCGAAATGAATTTGGACAATTTCAAAGTTTTGCTTTTGTTTCACTTACCCTTCGATCACTGTAAATTTGTATACAGTTGTCTCTATCTCTCTCACTTCGAATAATTAGTAAATAATAATGGTTTTACTTTCAGCAATTCGATTGTACTATCGATTTACAAAAATGAACCTGTTCAAAAGTAATGAAGGAAATTGATTTTTTTTTAAATATTGATGGAATTGTACATTTTTGGGCGTAATTCAAAGTGATGCGTTTGATCCGATTTCAATAACTTACCTTTTTGATGCTGTTTCTCTACAGACTCGGTTCAAATAATACTTGCTACTATAGAAGCACAAATGATCAAGCAAATGATTACGAACGATTTTCAAAATCAAACTGTAAAATCAGAGACACATATTAGTGAAAAATGCATGGAAAAATTGTTTTTGGGACTTTACTAAAAGTGTTGTGCATGTCAATATGTATGCAGTGTGAAATAAAATTAAATAAAAAAAAATCTATCTCGAAATTCGGCACAATCGTTCCTTTATGTTTAAGGTACAGATGAATTGTACCAAAACGATTGTATGTAGATTTTCGCAAATGTGATATTTTTTATTCAATAAAATTCAGTTAAAATTTAATATAGTGAGATGCCAAACTAGATCACAAAAAATGTGTGGCACAAAAAAATATTATGCATGCTTGACCAATGGCTACTATTTTTTTTTCGAATACTTACCTTTTATTTCACAATTCGACGAAATTTTCGGATGAACGTAATAATTTTCGGACACAAAACATAAATTGTTTAACAAATACACATAAATATCTGTAATAGACAAAAAAATAATCAAATAGATTATTCAATCAATGAATAGACGCAATGTTCACTAAGAATCTTTTGTGTTTTAAACACTAAAAAAAATCCGTTATATCCGTGACTGAGTTTTACACTTTGCGAACGACGCAATTTTTGGCGCGTTAAATAATTTTTTCTGTTCACTGTATACGAATCTCTTTTTCTTTCTCTTTTACTCTCTTGTTCTTTTGCGATTCCTAGCAAATTCTATTTCACCGAACCGATTGATCATTAAATCGCAATAATAAAATTGAGGAAAATCGAATTTTTTTTACCATGATCGATTTGTCACTTGCTAAAGCAAAAAAACGCGTGCGAAAGTGGTTGAAAAACGATTTTTTTTTGGGAATGAAGTATGATTATTTTACACCAAACGAACAATATCGAAAAACTAAAAAAATTCTTCACACCGAATCTCACATGAATAAAACTAAAGAAATGTCTTAGCGTTTCAATAGGCAAAAAATATTTTCGTGAAAAAAAAAATTAAATCACAGTAGACTGCGATAAAAAATCACATTTATTTAAATTGGTCGTTGAATGTGAAACTTACAGAAGATGTTGCACTCTCAGTGGCATCGAACGATCTAAGTCGGAATTGCTATGCGTTCGTAAAAGATTTGCATGTGACCAACACACAAAATCAATTCGGTGGTCAAATTGAAAGTGTCAATTCTCAACGGATTGTTCGGGTGCGATACCAATACATTCAACACGATGTATAATTTTATGTTTGCCTTACGATGTGTTGGAATGTGCGTTACAGCTTAACACAATCGTCATGCACAATCCGAAAAATGTCGTTTCTCTCGCTCGTTTGTGATTCACTTGTACCAACCACTTCACACAAAATACACCCGACATAAAGGATGGTTTATTCTTTTTGCATAAACCATGGCAGCGCATTCGATTGCTTCACAATATCATCGATATGAGTTTAAGTTTTACATGAAGGCCGGTTTAGCTATAACAATTTACAGTATATTTTCTTATGAATGCATGTATACATTTTTATGGGCCGTAACTCCGGTCGTGTTGTTTATGTTGTTTATATCGATGACAGTTTATTTTTTAAATGTGCCAAATATTTAATTTTGTTCATTTCTGGGTTTTGTGAGTTGTTTTTATTTAAGAAAATAAGACAATATGAGTTTTTCTCTCTTCACCAATAATGATATGATTCGAATTTGAAACAAGCTGATGTTGACAAATTCACCGATAAAATTAAATCGTTTTAAAGAGCACATTTTCAAAGTGATGAATGCAGAAATAATGGAAACACTAACTCATCTTTGATTTAATAACATCTTCAAAAAATGTCAACAGAAAGATCAAGAGATTTTTGGTTATCATACAAGAACTGATTCCATTTTGATATCGTTCTAATTTGATGCGTGGACCGGTTTGCTCAATTGGTGAAATATTGATTTTTGTATGAGAATATTTGGACTGTTTATGATTTCTTCATATTTGCTCAGATGTTTTACAATAACTGTATTTTATCATGAAAGGACAATGGAATATGAAGAAATACGGCTATTGTTGATTGATCCACACATCTTCATTTGGATAGTTATACTCTTTGTCTTTATACTGAAGAATTCTTATATTTGTTGATAAACGGGTAGAGAGTGCATGAAGATGTGATAAAAAAGAAGTCATTTCTCATCGGCAGAAAGTTAACAATAAATGACACTGTAAATTTCAAAATATAAAAATGCCTTTATTAAGAGTAAAAAAATGCAATTAATGAATTACATTTGGGAATCAAATTCATAGGTCACGTTTAAACACCAAGTACTTTTCGTTTCTATCATAAGATAATGTCCATGTTGGTTTATTAGAATCCTTTAATTGTCCATTAATCGCATTCATTTGATCACTGCAAATGATATATTTGGCTTCTTCGACTCCAAACACTTTCCATGTCTTCACACTTGAATGCTTTCGATCGAACGTTTCGAATATTTCAAGTAAAGAAATTTCCAAGACATCTGAGTCGATTGTAACAAATGCTTTGGCATAAATTAATTTTCCAATTTGTTTCACCATCACATTTTTGGTTTCTGATCTCACGTCCGCCATTTCCAAATTTTTGAAATGATTTATGAAATCGGTTATTCGATTGTCTATAAGCAATGCTTGTAAATAAAGTCTTTTCAGGTTTGGCATTTCAAATGAAAGAATTTTATCAACCAATTGACTTGTAACGTAGAAATTCAATCTGAATGTAATAACCGACTTCAAATTATATACGCGATCAAAGCCCCGTTCCAATATTTCATTATCAGCATGTCCTTGAATTTCGAGTGTTTCTAAATGTTTTAAATTTTCTTCGATCGAACGAAGTGTATCTTTTCTTCTGACAATTGAGAGTACAAGAGTAGATATTCCTTTGTTATTTGCAAAAATCGAGTCCAGTTGATGCTCTTCAATTCCGATTGAAGAAATTTTCAGCTCTAATTCTTTCAAGTTTTTAACATTTGCCAAGCAATTTTTGTCAATTATTCGCACAAGGCCGTTCATTCGAAACGTTTCAAGTTTTGGAAATATTGAATGCAAATCGAATATATCCCGACCATTTATACCGGTGTAAGAAAACTTTTTCACATTTGGAAAATGAATCTCTCCATTTTCATTCGAGATTTCGTTCCAGATTGCATCATAAAATGTTGTTATTTTAAGCTCCGTCAATTGATCTCCAAACCTTTTGATGATATTTTTGTTTATTATTTGACGCTCTCGGTCATATGGACCGATGAGGGATTTGTAATTTATGTGAATTCTCCTTACATTTTTACCAAACTTCTCAAAAAGTGACATAAGCCGATTGAAATTTCCAATGTGAAGATGTAATTCACCATTTTGTAAATGTTGCTCTATTCCACTGATAGTACCATGTAAATTGATGACAATTATATGGTTTTCGAATATTCGACTCATAACATTATCTGCTGCACTTATATTTGCTCGTCGTGCCATTATCGTTGCATCAAGACCAGCTACGGACAGAATCTCTTCCATCAAATCATTTGACAATTCTGGCTGCGCTGGATCTACCTTATGACATTTAATTACCTAGATTTTCGAGAGAAATATATACCAATTTAATACCAATGAAGAACACATAGAATAAAAAATCACTCACAAATCCTTCAAAGAGGAGAAATGACACAGTCAATACGAAGATAAATTTCATTTTTTTGTCTTATTTGTGAAATGTTCTAAAATTTAATCGTCAAGAACCACTGATAATTTTCTTTAACTCTCGCTCGTTTTAATCGCTTTAATTATTATTCATCAGAAATGTTTTATTATTTTTATATTTCGACTCGAAAAATGTGTTTTGTCTTAAATAATGAAATTCCTCAATTGACTGACGTAATTGCCAAACATTTTTATTTATTTCGATCAATATTTGTAAATATTATCATTAGAGTGGTTTGTATTTTATCAAGAAGACAAAAAAAATTGCATAAAATGACTCGTCAAGTCTACAGTGATATGCTTTATCATTTAAAACCCACTTTTTATACACATGACTATATATCAAATTTCATTTTCGTATTCGAAGTTATTATTTGAATGATAGTTAGATTGTAATTGTAGATTGCGCTGTAATTTTAATATTTTCCGAGTCAATATGCGGAATTGTTTATCCATCTGAGTTAATTCCATGGAAAAACGTTCCTTTCAAATGTTTCGATTTTAAAATTTGTTGACGCCATGTTCGACCCAATTTACATATGCACCAAATAAAATATCTCTACCGAATTGAAATGAAACGTGGAATTTATGACGCAACATGACATTTTTGAGTTTGTTCAGAATGAACAACCTTTAAAAGAGTTTACAAGCAGACCAATCGATGTTTATGTGAACCACATAAACAATTTATCTAATGGAAAGTAAACAGCTTCTTTGTTTACTGTGAATTCAGTTTACGATTATTTGGTGGTCGTAAAACTAATGAGCAATGGCAACTGACCACCACTTGAATTTTTTTAGATTCTGATAAAAATAATTTATTTGGATTTAGATGATTTAGGAAGTATAAAAGGAGATGCAAAATCACAATCTGTATCAGTTCATTTGGTACAATCGTAGCAATCAAACTAAAAACAAACTTTTCAACATGTTCAAATTGGTGAGTGATTTAATTTAGAAATTTTAAGTTTTGTACATATTTCTGCAATACGATATCGCACCATTATCTTGTGTACAATTTTAATTTTTAACTTAATTTTCGATTCGTAGTTCGTATTGTCTGCTCTTCTTGCTTTGGCCGCTGCCAAGCCAGGTTATTTGCACGGCGCAGCACCAGCCTTTGTATCAGCTCCAGTTGGTTAGTTGTTAATGTACCTTTTAGATTCTGTACCTTTTAGATATATCTTTTTTTTCTAATTTTTTTAGTGTCAACCTATGCCGCATCTCCAATTTCATATTCCGCTCGAGCTTACACTGCTGCTGCTTTTCCAGTTTCGTATGCTGCTGCATCAGCAAGTACGTATTCCATTTGCACAAAAACTGTGTATCTTGTGGAAGAATTAAAATGATGTATTTTTATAAATAATTTAGTCTCCACCTATCATGCTCCAACTCTTGCCGCTCCACTCCCATACACACATACCTATTCATACCGTGCAGCCGCGCCACTTTCTTATAACGTAGCTCCATTGGTCTATAAATCAGCTGCTTGGTGAATATCGGATGATCGACAAAATCCAACGTCACAATCATCCACATAATTAACCACTGTCAAGGGAAAATTCGATAAAATGTGAATAGATCCAAGATTTTTCGCAAAAAAATATTTTTCAAACTGTATCAAAAATTTCAATAAAAATTGCATTCGAAATCAATATCTTTTTACTTACAGAATTTTTTTACAACGCATCAATTTCTATCCCCTCTTGAGTAAAATACCATTAAATAAGAATTAAATACATTTTCAAAAAGATCTTTTTGTGCTGATTCACAATGATTTGAATGGTGCAAATGTGGTTCAAGAATATATTCTATTCAGCTGAAATGTAGTAATGTAATTAAAATAAAAAACCAGGGAAATGACGAAGTAAAAGAAAAATTCAATTTTTTTTCGTAAAGGATTAGAAACATTTATTCATAAGTAGAAAAATTTCCACTTGTGGGCATGACACACCGACCAAACATGACAACAATCGTCTGTAATATCAGACTAAACAAAAAGGCAAAATTAACATAGTATGGAAAATCTATTTAATTGAAATTCAATAAATTTACGCTTTCGTGATTTTTTCTGCATTCTCCAACTCTGTTTGCCTCGATTGCAATTAAGATCTTAATAATCAATAGAAAGACGATGCTCAGAATAATTTTGACGCTCAACATTTTGATTGATGTTTTGTATGATGTTTTTTTTTTTTTTTCAAATCAAAAACGTCGAATAACATTTTGATTCTCAGGAATAAGTTCTTATAAGTTGATATGTAATATGTTTTAAAAGTTGACTATAATTCCAGGTCTTTTCTCAATATAAGGCGTATCAGCCAGACTGATGCGTATAATTTTCTACAACGCTTTTATCATTTAGCATGGAATTTTATTGATAAATACAGAAGCATCACATTACAAGACATTCACATTATTATCGAAAACCAAAAGTAAATCCCAAACAATCCGAATATTTATTAAGTAAATAAACAGTACGACTTAATTCAAATCATTTTTTTTTTTAAATCAGATTTTAATCAGTTAAAAAGCAATCAAATTTTTTTCTGACTTAGAAAAATATTATTTCGAAAAAATCCAATAAAAGAGTTTTTTTTCTCCAATTTATAGTTTTTAATTTTATTTTTCCATATCCATCTTTTCTTTGAGAGGAATACAGACAAAATGTGTTTGTGCGAAAAAAGCAAGCAAATTTAGTAAATTCTTGATGATAACTTTGATTTTGTTATAGTCATATCGAGAACACACAGGTATCATCTCATAAATGTTTACCAGGACACAACTGGTGAAGAATGGTATGCGACTGGAGCAGCATGAACTATTGGAGCTGAATGAACCACTGGGGTGTGGAGTGAAGAATATGCGACGACTGGTGATGAAACAATAGTTTTTGTAACTGTGTAAAGAACAAGTATCAGAATCATTCGGAATTCAATGATGTGAAAAGTGACTCAAAAAATTGCTTACTTATTGGTGTTTTCACTACCGGAACTGCATGCACAACAGCTGGGGCGGAGTATGTGACGATTGGAGACACGACAGCCCTTGCGACTTTATGAAAAAAGATAATAACATCAAATAATGTGCACAATAAAGTTTCCCAAGTAAATTGAGTTGAACGACATTTAAAAAAAAAAATGTAACGTTGCGAAACAATATAAAGGCATTGATTGAAACAAAGGTCTTACCGATTGGAGCTGCGACGACTGGAGATGCAGAGTATGTTGAGACAACTATACAAAAATAATTTTTATAACAATTTCATCAATATTCGTGTTTTCGAATTGTATCGATTGTTCACATGATTCAATGAATATTATTCATACCTGCTGGTGATGAAACAAAAGTTGGTACACCGCCATGTAAAAATCCTGGTTTGGCAGCGGCCAAAGCAAAGATGGTAGTCCATAAAATCTACCGAGAATAGTGGTAAACAAAATATTCAGAATCAAATTATTTACTTTTTTTTAATTAACGCTGTACGAGATTCGTACAACTTCACAACATTTCTGTTGGTAAAATTGTACCGTTCACTCACCAATTTGTACATTTTGAAAGATGTTTTTTGTTCGGTTGCTGCTAGCGTTTTGAGTGAACTGATGCCGCTTACTCTCCGGCATCGTCTTTTATACTTTAGTCCAGTTAAGTTGTATCGGCGTTCAAAAAAACTATTATTAAAATCTACATAAATTCAAGGAATTGGCGATCGAACGGCCAAAGATTTGAAGTGGCCATAGACATCTCATATGTGACACTTCAAAATCACTTAATTAAGTCGACCTCTCATTTTGTTGTTATTCTGTGCGTATAAATCATATGTGTAGAACATGATTCATTCAATAAACAAAAAATCAAACATTGGTCAAATATTCATTTCCTATCAGTCTGTATAATAGAACGCTTGAAATATGATTGCAAAATAAAAAACATGAATTTTTTTTATACTCCTTTAACTTTTTTTGTGTAAACAAATGGTAAAGTTCGATGACATTAAAAAAAAACTTATTCGAAAATTGAGAAAAAACAGATTTCAAAGTAATAATGAGTTCACCTTGTGTTTTTTTAACACTTTTTCTTCTTTTCATTTTATTTCTGGTGATAGTAACATATTTTTACTTTAAAAAAGAGACGTTTGACTTCTGCGATTATATGCGACACAAAATTCGTCTAAAAATAAAATTCATTGCATCATGGGTCAATGCCGTCAATGCGGTTGTATTTGATACAAGCCGATTGGTGTGTGTACACAAAAACAAACCCTATAAATCTTATAATAATAATTCTCTTTGATTTTTTGTTTCTTCCCCATGTCAATGATATCTCTTTTTTTATTTTACAAAGGAAATCACAAAGCAGACAAGAAAAACGTTGTGTACAAATGCAATGGCAAAATTTTGATTCGATTACGTACGGAAGAATGTCAACAGCCAATAATTATTGTTGATGAATGTCAATCAAATTTGAAAATATTGATCGAGTCTAAACGTGCAATTCTGTTGAAACAATACATTTTCAATAGTTCAATTGATTTATCGTTGAAAGGGAACGGCATTCACACTTTCATTCAGGAGGGAGGGTTGCATTAAAGCAAATGAAGACGTATCCCTAATGTGCAATGGAAAAAGTCGAAGTTATTACTTATAAAGGTGGACAGATATTTCAGTTGTATTTTTAAATTGAAAAACTCTGCAAAATTATTATGTAATTTGTGGATAGAAAAAGAGATGATTGAGGACGATATACTTCAATCGATAGGAACTATCATCATATGACACCGTATAAAAAGTGATTTGTTACATTTCAAAAGATGACCAAGTCGAAATCGAAACAAGAAGATGGACAATTTCCAACGAATCTTCCAATTTTAGTAGTTTTAATTCGATGTAGCTAAAAAAAATATGATTATTGTTTTTGATAAAATTTAAATTTTAGATGGATATCAGCCTCGATGCACATACAAATTTGCCATCATTCACAAATGACACAAACATTTTACAAAATGGTTTGTTTGTGACATTTGCGACGATAATATACTTTGTAAAAATAAAGACAGGTCATTTGCCTACTTATTTGTTGAATAAACGAAAACCGATATCTGCAACCGTCCAATGTAAATTTAATAAAAGAAAAAATAGTTGAAGCGAAGATATTGTTGTGACCGACGTTCTTGATTGACAGCGTTGAAGTTGAAAGTAAAAAACGGAAATTGCTTACTACCCAGGTAAAGACTATTATAGTTCTTTCGATGTATATAGCGGGTGGATGACACAGATTACAAAAGTAATGTTTTCGAATAAAAGAATGGCACAGCAAAAGAATCTCCTTCAAAGGGACAGTAAATACATAAAAAATATAGATATTTTTTCGTTGGCATTTCTTTTACAACGCAGAGAGTAGAAAATACTACCGCTATAATAATACTATAATAACAGCGCCTATTAGTAGTTACTATTTATACATATTTCGATTGTGTGACCACAGCAATTTTTGTGAACTTCAACGTGACTCTTTGTAGATAGATTCTGAATATTGTTCACATTAAAGTTCGCAAAAATTGTTGTGTACAAATAGTAGCTATTAATAGGCACTGGTAAAATTGTATCACTATATCGGTATTGTTTCTTTTCTATCTGTTTATAGATATGAGCAACGCCGACTAACAAAAAAAAAAGAAATTTGATTTTGATAAAACAAAACCAATAGACGTGAATAGTCTAAAAGAATTAATATTCGGCTTGTGCGGTGCTATCAATTCGTCATTTCCAAATTCATATCATATGACTCATATGCAATTTTTTTGAATGGAGAAAACACCCTTAACCCTTAACCGGGCAGGTCGGGTCTCAGAGGCCCGGTAGCGCATTTTTTTTAAAAAAAAGATACATAAAATCGCATAAAATATTATTTTAATCAATAAAATTGTTTTGTAATATATTATTTAATCCTTCTACTAGTCGTCGATAAAAGTTGTTTTGAATTTGGTTCCCTAAGTAGCGCTGTATTGAGGTTTGAACAAGTAACAGACGTACATTATCCATACAAAATGTCATCAATTTTTTTTTAAATGAAGTGCAAAATTTGTACTAAACAACTACTGAACTGAAACTTAAATTCATCTGATTCGGAATAAATATTGAATATTTTTTCATTTTTTCAGTTATATTTTACAAAAAACATATTCAATTCAATATCTATTATGTTAAAACAATAATTTTCGTCGTATAAATTTAATGGAAATTTTTTTTTCATTGAATTTGCATGGAAAATGTACGTCGGGCCTCAGAGGCCCCACTTGCCCGATAACGTTAGGATTTTGACCTGCCCGGTTAAGGGTTAAAAATTGATTCCTTTTCCATTGCACGTGAATGAAACTATTTGCCCATTCATAATTGTTGATATTATTATTACAATTGGGGCTATGTTTTCCAGGTTTTTTTTAACATCATTGCAAGAGTTTCATCACAGTCATTTACATCATCATTGAATTAGGGCATCAAATTATCCATGCGAAATCATTTCTGAATTATCATATTGTCTTTTTATTTTCTACGTAATCACTCGTTCTGGTCAGTGCAATCAAATGCATTAATATTGTTGTTACAATTGTTTATCTTAAGTGATCTGGGTCAAGTTCTTTCGCCCACCTTAAAAGAAATACAAATGTAGAGATATGTGAAAATCACTACAGCACTTCGTTGGAAAATGTTAATTCCTGTAAAAGCTTTTTTACTTATTTCTTTATTTTACGTACCCTTATCCGTGCACAAACTTCAAACAAGAATATTTGAAGCTTTTTCTATTTCATGGAATCCAAAGCTGCAATTTAAGCTAACGAATGATTTAAAACTTGCAAAAAAAGCCCGAGAATCGTTCAAGCTTTTCCGCGAAACGAAAGGAAAATGACAAAGTAGGCGTTTGATGGCGCCATCAGTTTTACAATTATCGAAAACTCGTATCCTCCAAAAAGATACTATGTTATTGGTTATTTAACCATTAGAATCAGGCTGATACTATTAATATGACTCACAATTACACGCTTTATGGATTAAAAATGAATCAATGTTCCGTGTATTTTTCCGTATTATTTGTGGATTTTGGAATTTTTCTCAGAATTAAAGGCAGTGAGAATGAAAGATATGAACTTGAATTGAAATTGTACAGCAACAATCCTTAAGTATTCGGTCGCATAAGGCGCACACAAACACATTTGACGTCGTTGTTATTTATTTTGGAGGCCAAGGTCAAAATAATATTACCCGCATATGCAGTATATAGAGAACTGAAATGAGCATTGACAATAAACGGCACACATCGCTGATGGTGGTTTTTATGTTTGTTGGTATAAGCTCGTGTATGTGTATTGTGGGAGTCTCTCTTGTCATGAAAACAATAAGTACACAAGACGAAAACAAAACAACAAAAATATATGTACTCGTACACAACCGTGTCATATGTAACTGTGTATGGACCACACGACCGCGATCATATTTTCATCGCATATAGTGCTCAAGTTATCATTGGGAAAATATTTTGTTTTCTGCATTTACCCCGTTTCCAATATGGTTTACGTTGATTGCTTTATTTTCTCTTTCAATAACACAACTGTTGTGTACTGGGTGGTGCACACATGTATACGTCTCAAATTTGATTATGTATGGCGTCCAATCCAAAGTGTAAGTTGAAAAATTCTTTTGAAATTTTCCAAAATTGAATTGGGTCGCAACAACAATCTCTTCGTATGATTGATTTTGGTCATAACTCATTCAAATCATGCAAAAATTAATTCTTTGGAGATTCGAATTCTATCTTTTTCTCTTTCATTTTATTCAATTTTTGAATTAACACACTTAAATACGTTCATTCGTTCGCATTCGTTACAATGTGATGAAATATGTTGAGAGAAAAAAGAACGATAGTTCAAAAGTTGCAGATCAGCTGTGTGACTTTCAAAATTTTGCTTGCTGCATTGGAGATATTCTTTTGCCTCAAATCTGACTCTATGTGCATCTATCTAGAATATTGTTAAAATGGTGCGCATTCAAAATGCAATTTTATTTACATAATTCATGAATTCTCGCTCTTTCTTTCCTTCACTTCCATTTTGCCATTCTCTTTCTCTTGTTAGCCCTTTTTCTGTGGTTGATTGTTGTGCGCGGCAATATTATTATTAGAAACTTATTATATATGAGCCTTTGCTCACTGTATGTGAAAATGTGTGTATGTATTTGTTTTAATTTGTTCGTATGTTAATGGCGCAAGCGTGATTGCTAGTGATAATAGTTGTGTGCTATGTACGGTAAATATAAAAATAAAGCCTTCCATTATTGGAACAAAATATATCAAAAATATTCTGATATTTTTTGTTCAATTTGTATTGCATGTAAGGGAATGTATATATGCCGAAGAGAGACGGAGACGGCACGATTGGAATAATGTGTGTGTACGTGTGTGATATGAGATGGTGATTTTCATTGCAACTAAAATTCATTCGGAGAAAGTGAGACGAACCGAGTCGAACGCCATTGAGTGGAAAAAGGAGCTAACGTGTGCAATATATGGATGGAGTTAAGAGTTTGAAAAAATGCGCACTGATTGCATTCAGATCCCATTACGAACAGGTTGACACGTACGAGACTATGTGTGCCTGTATACAGAACCAAAAGTATAAATGTCTGAATGCCATTATAATATCTATGTCTATGGAGTGCACACTGACGATGTACATATGGAATGGAATACTTATTGTTGTTGCTGATAGACACATATATTTTCAT